TACTTGAATTTCACCTTTTTGTTTGTTTGTTTGTTTTTGTGACAACTGATGCATCACAGGGATAGATGGCATCACAAAATTAGTCCCAGGGATTTAAAGAAGCAGATAACAATAACAAAATTTGGTTGGCTATCAGGGAGAGGTGAGTTCTTAGGGCTCCCTCTGTACTGTGATGACTGAAATAGAGGCCTAGTGAAGGAGTGGGATTTACCCGCTAACTCTTGAAAATGTTGAGAAATGGTCAATTTTACTCCGCATGTGTATTTCTTTGTTTATACCCGTGAGGATTTCTGGGCAGCCAACTGTTACTAAGTTCCCAAGCCTCTCTTCGCCTTTCATGACAAGAACAAAATGTTTCAAATAGTTATTAGTTTCCTTGTACCAATTTCTTCCTGCTACCAAGTAAATAGTTTGGAAATGGAGGGGGTCTCATTGTTTTAGACTCTAACGCTTTACTCCTGATACCTATTTGATAAAGTAACAACTAAGTGTGTTGATTTTTTTTTTTTTTTGAATCCTTATTAGTACGCTTGAAGAGTTCTCAAAGTAATCAATTATTATAAAGTATTTGGCCCTCTCATTACTATAATGAGGGTTAAATGCTTGATCTTTTTTCTATACTGCCATAAACACATGGCATATGTATTTCTGTGCATATATACTTCCTTTCGTTTCTCTTTCTTTTTTCAACAAAGGACTAATAATTATCATACTGTTTTCTCATTTTTTTCACATCAACTCATTTCATGTTAATATAGGTCTATGCTATTGAACGTAACTGCCTGATTACGTTTGTACAGAAAGTATCCTTATATTTAAGCAATTGCACTATGTGAGAAATTGGTTGCTGGGTTTGAGAACTAATTGCAATTAGAATGAATTCTGTGAAAACTATTAAGTATAATTTATCTTTATACTCTTATCAAATACTTTTCTTTTGACTGATTCAGATGTATATCAATAGATAAATGTTAACATACAGAGTCTCATCAATACGACTCTTTAGAATTTACTTGGTCTGCTTATTTGCTAGGAGGAATCGTACCATGGGTTACTCTGAGGTCTAATTAAATATTTATAATTTTATCAGTCATTTATATTTCTTCTTTATCCATACTTTTTTGCTCACTTTTCTATAAGGTTGATCTCCTTCTTTATTGATTGTAGGGGATATAGAAATAATAAATATTAATATAGTCTGCCATGTATATTGTCATTTTTAAAATTATCTGTCGTATTTAAATGTGATTATAAAGATTTTTGTCTTTTATATACAGAAGTCTAATTATTTACATAGTTACATATAATAACACAATTATGTGCATGTATGTAATCAATACACACATACGTAAATTACTGTGTAATTCATAATAGTAGTACTTAGGAGATAAAATTCCCAATACCCAACGTCATAGTGGTGAAATGAAAAGAAATTTAATTTTTCCAAAATAGTTAATCATTTGTCCTAACTTGTCCTGTCTTCCATAGACAGGTCACTCTCAACTTCATTCCTCTTAATTAACTTATATTAAATGAATTTACCAGAATTCCTCAGGCTTCTACCTCTACCACTCTTTCAGCACAATTAGTTTAAAGATAACTCTCTGTGTGTTCCTTCCATCTATTTCAAATTGTAAAATATGGGGCAAAAAGTATTCAAAGCACATGATATGTTTTCACTATATATATATATATTTTTTTTTTTTTTTTGTAGATTTTCGCTATAGGGCGCATGCGCTCGCCAGACAGACAGAGAGAGACAGAGAGACTGAAAGCGAGAAATCACCCCCCAGGGGGGATGGCCATGCCACAATCCCTTCCCCTCCATTCTCCTCTCAGGATCTTGGGCATGCACGGGCACGCGCCCGGCGTGAGTTTTAAGCTACCGGGTCTGAGACGCGAACCGCGATCGACTACGTGGGAGTCCAGCGACATAGCCATTACGCTAACTGCTGGTTTCCACTATATTCTTTATTTTCAGGGTGAATAAGTATCCTTCATGGTGATATGGAAAACCGTAACTATCATGGACACATTCCTATTAAGTCCTTGAAGCTGTTGCCATATTCTATTTGTTTCTTTAGTCTTTTATAGCTACATGTGTATCATAATGTTTTAATTACTTGTTGCTTAAAAACACAGTTAAAGAGGGCCAGTCAAGTGGTGTGGTGGTAAAGGTGACTGGATTCCACATGGTCAAGTACATGGTTAGAGTCCTGGCCCTGGTGGCTTGGAAAATACGCCAGGTGTGTGGGCATCTGTGTTCAAAATCCCAAGAGAATGGAGAAGAGATTGCAGCATAGCTATCCCCTTCTGAGGGGGAGGGGGGTGATTTCTCACTTTCCCTCTCTCTCTTCTTCTCTCTCTGTCTCTGGTGAGCACACATGCCCTGTAACAAAAACTAACTAAAAAATGTAGTATATCTAATAGGACAAATGTTTCTATATCGGTTTGCTATTTCAAAAACACCAGAGTATATCACACATTTATCCCTCTAGATAAATTTTAGAAACATTTTTCAGCATATTTTGTAAGGTGGGAGATAAAAGGATATTCAGAGCGTAAGTGATTTTCATAGGTAAAAAACACAGAGGTAAATTTAAAGACAATGGACTTTGTTAAAATAATGAGAATAAAATGTATATTCACGTTGTTTAATATCTCACTTGGGACCAGCAGTTGACGTAATGGCTATGTCACTGGACTCCCATGTAGTCGGCTGCAGTTCGAGTCCCAGACCCAGTGGCTTAAACTCACGCCGGGCACATATGCGTGCATGCCCAAGATCCCGAGAGGAGAATGGAGAAGGGATAGTGGCATGGCCATCTCTCCTGGGGGGTGATTTCTCACCTTCTATCTCTCTGTCTCTCTATGTCTTTCTGGTGAGCGCACACACCCTATAGCAAAATAAAAAAAAAAATAGCTCACTTCATGTTTTTAAATAGGATTTTATATTAGTCTTTTTAGAGATCATATATAATAATTCCTAATTTTTTTGCCTAGGTTTTTTTGTATCTTTATTCTTATTATAATTATGTACTTGATAATTTTCCCATTACCATTTCTAAATGATTTTTGGTATACATTAAATTTTCTTTTATTTATTTGTAACTAGTCACCTCACCTAACTCTTATTATTTCTAATAGTTTCTCAGTTGCTAAATATTTCCTTAGTGTTTAATCATGCCATTAACAAATAATGATACTTTGCCTACTTTTCTAATATATACAACATTTGCTTTTTTTTTGAGAGAGATTTTTACTATGGGGTGTATGCTACTTGCCAGAGAAACAGAGAGATAGAAAGTGAGAAATGACCACCCAGAGGGGATGGCCACACTGCAATCTCTTCCTCCATTTTCCTCTTGGGATTTTGGGCCCACATGCACACACACTCCTGGTGTGAGTTTCAAGCCATCAGGTCTGGGACTCAAACCATGGTCAGCCATATGGGATTCAGGGTCTTAGCCTCTATGCCACTCGCTGCCATCCGAGATTTACTTTTATTTGATCTTTTCTTTTGACTCAAACTTTTCAGCAATGTTATAACACTGAAACACACACACACACACAGGCCGGGCATGACTGTCAAGCCACCAGCTTTGGGACTTAAACCATGGTTGGCCATATGGAAGTCCACACCACACCACTTGCTGGCCTCCTTACAATAAATTTAATTTTAAGCCTTGATTGGTAGCACTATTTAGGTTACCAATGCCAAAAGGACCAGTAGACAACATTCTGCTAACCATCCAAGTGACACTCAAGAACTCTTTAAGGGCAAAAGGGCAAAAGGATGTAATCCCTACCAAAAAGTAATTGTAGTTGCCTCTAAAAAAATCTCTCAATTTAAGAATAAAGAACACCATACAGTAATATTGTATCTAGGAGTCAGTTAATGATTGTCTTCTCTGTGGGTCAGAGTGTTCTCGGGAGGGTCGGCTGTGTTTTACAGCTACCAGAAGTGAAAATTGACGACTCACCAATTATTTTCATCTGACATGAAGGGTGTGTTTTCTGCGTACTTGAAATACCGACAAAGATGTAAATAAATTAGGCCCATGATTACTATTATTTCTTGAATTCTATCTTGTTCCACATTTCTAGCAGACCCTTGAACTCCTGACGAAAGCTTCCGAGAATGATCACAAGTGGATGTCAGAACTCAAAGACACAAAGATGAGCCCGCCAGTGGAGTCCCAGACCCAGTAGCTTTGAGACATAAATCCCCTGGGTGCGTGTGCCCTCCTGCCCAACATCCCACCGGAGGGAGACAAGGAAGAGGAGGGATTGCAGCATGGCCATCCCCCAGCGGGGGGGATGCTTTCTCGCTGCACACCCCATTCCCCCAGGGAGCACACACACCCTCTGGCGAATTAATAATAATCATGATAACAATAAAAGACACAAAAGACCACAGTGAGTCTGACGAGCCACCGTGAAGTCATACCAAAGCCAAAGATTCTAAGGTCACAGAGCAGAAAGTACCAAGGCAACAGGGAGTCAAAAATCCTTAGTTAACTTTTTTATTTTTTTTATTATTATTATTTTTTTAAATCCCCTTGCCATGTGGAAGGGAGAAATCAGGGAACACCACTTGTACTCTTGCATGGAGGTTGAAACCTATAAAATAAGTCGTTTATGATACATGCTGATGACGCAATGAGGTTGACTGTTTAGGAGGGAAGAAAAATACCAGCGTGAAATCCAAAAGGCGGGAAATGAGGGACCTGTTTCCATCACTTGGAACAGAGGTGACCGATGAGCGGAAAGCAGTGACCGCAGGGGAGAGAGAAAACTCTGGAGAAGCTACAAAGTGATGGGGGAGGACCACACTGGCCGCTGGGGGGCAAGCCGGCAGACGCGCGGGGCAGGTGCGATGCGCGAGCCAGGCGGGCGCGACGTCACAGAGCCCAGCACCAGGCAACGCTGTCGGCGACCTGCCAGACGCCAGGTGAAAGCCGCTGGGAGGCCGGCCGGCGTGGGCGGCCCTTGCCATTATTCCTCCCTCGGTCGTCTTGCCTTCCGGTAGCGTGAAGAGCAGTGGCGTGAGAAATGGAAGCGGCGGAGGAGAGCCCTACGGGGAGCAAAACCCAGGCGGAGACTCCAACCCCGGAGATGCGAAGCCGGGCGGAGACTCCAAATCCGGAGAAGATCCCAGATCCGGAGGAGACTCGAGGCCGAGGCGGGGAGGAGGCCCAAAGCGTGGGGGAGACGCAAAGCTCGTCTCCAGATGCCTCCATCAGTTTGGGCACTGGCACGGGCACCGACAAAGCTCTTGCCCCCGTGGAGGGCAAGAGGAAGAGGAAGGGGTACTTACCGACCAAGTCCGTGAAGATCCTGCGCGACTGGCTCTACGAGCACCGCTTTAAGGCCTACCCTTCCGAGGCGGAGAAGCGCATGCTGGCCGAGCAGACCAACCTGTCGTTCCTGCAGATCTCCAACTGGTTCATCAACGCCCGCAGGCGCCTTCTGCCAGAGATGCTGCAGCTGGATGATAACGACCCAACAGATCCCAGCCAGCACCGTCAAGGTGAAGACGTGGATGCAGCCACCCTGCCGGGCAGCGATCCATCCATGCGCGCCAAGTCTCCACCCAGGGATGCAGACAGCATGCCGGGCCTGCCTGTGAGCCCTCTGCCCATGGGCCAGGCCTCCGGAGAGAAACTACTGGATTCAGGGTCGGCCTCAAGCCAGACCCTTCCTCTGAAGGCAAAGAAGAAGGTCAGGTTCGCCCTCAACGAGCCCTTGTCAGCTCCCGAACCGGTGCCATCAGAGGAGTACCAGGATTTTAGTAGCTTCCAAATGCTGGTTGACGCTGCAGTGCAAAAGGCAGCCGAGCTGGAGCTACAGAAGAAGCAAGAGCCGAAGTAATCCGTGCCTGGGCACACCATAGACTCATTTATGCTACTCCCCACCCTCCCAACCCCGATATTTACCTTCTACTGAGATCACTTTCCTTCTAGGGTTTATATGAGAACCCCTGTTAACTATTGAGATTGAGTTCTGCCAGATATTTCAACATTTCCAGATGAAAGACACTAACTGGTCGTGATTAACAACTGAAGCGAAGATCGCTATTGGTTCTTCTTAGTCCTGGATCTCAACTTTTCCTAAGGACTAGCATATCTGAGACTAGAGACTAATTTGAAACGTCAGAGATTTCCAGCTTTCCTAGCCAAGTTTCTTGATCCCAAGGCTGTTGCAGATACCAAAGGACTCCCCTTTCTCCCTCTCCCCACTCCCTTGTTTATTAGCATGAATGATGGAAAAAAAAAAAAAAAAGGCTCTATAAAAAATGGCTATAACACTTGTCTCGTTTGAATGTTGGCATTTTTTGTGAATCTTTCGAATCTATATTTCCCTTTGTACAGTTTATTTACTATTTTAAGGAGTAGTTCATCTTTCCAAGGGTATAAGAATAAGGTTGAACATACAGTGAGTTTAGGGGAGCAGCAGTTAGTGTAATGGCTATGTCACTGGACTCCCATGTAGTCCATGGTGGTTCAAGTTCTGGACCTGCCAGCTAAAAACTCACGCCGGGCGCCTGTGCGTGCGTGCCCAAGATCCTGAGAGGAGAATGTAGGAGAAGGGACTGCAGGGTGGCCATCCCCCCTGGGGGGTGATTTCTCACTTTCTGTCTCTCTGTCTATCTCTCTCTCTCTCTGGCAAGCGCACACGCCCTATACCAC